AAATGTTCTCATCAATGAATGTATATTTCAGTGCCGAGTCTTTATACAATTTATATATTTATTTGAAAGTGTTTGAAGCCATTGAACATGGATTTGAAAATGATCTGTTCTGGCACCAGTATTCGAAAATACAATAAATGAATTCATTGTTGATTGTATGGTAATGGATTTGTTCAATTTTCTTATGATAGAAACTTCACGGGTTGCTCTGATCTTCTATGTAAACACTATTATCTGTGATGAAAGGTTTTTATTTTTTCTGTTTCAGAATTTAAAACTATGGTTTATCTTTTATGTTTACTTGGAATTCTATGTTGAGTAGGACTTAAGCTGTAAATTTTTAATTGCATTACTTATATCATTAAATCACAATCACCAAACTGTAATGATCACAGTAATAAAGAAAAATTTCCAACATGTTTATATCACTGTCACTGTCCTTCCATTGTTCATCAATTTGCTCGAGTGGACCCAGTAACGTCTCCATTGTGACAATTTTTACTGTGTTTGGCATATCAAATACATCACGTGTAGCTTGTCAGGCATTGCCGTGCTGGCGAGATACTCTCAGTAGCTTGCCAGGCTCTCCAAGAGGGGCGGAGGAATCGAACTCGGGTTGGCCATGTTGGCCGCTTGCAAGGCAAATGCCCTACCCACTGTGCTATCACTCTAGTCCAACATATATATATATATATATATATATATATATCTAGATATATATATACAGGATAATGCTAAATATAAATATATAAGATAAAGGCCCTCCCGTTGATCGTCGATTTGCTTGAGCAGGCCCAGTAACGTCTCCTTTGGAGACTTTGTTGTTACTGTGTCTGGCATATCAAATACTCTTGGTAGCTTGCCGGGCTCTCCGAGAGGGGCGGAGGAATAGAACTCGGGCCGGCCATGTTGGCCCCGCGTAAGGCGAGCGCCCTACTCGCTGTGCTATCGCTCCAAATTATATATAATAAATAAATATAATATAAATATATAAATATATATATATATATACAGAATAATGCTAAATACTTCAAGGGCATGTAATTTATTCTTCAGAGTAAGATACCTCAATGAGAATGAGAAAGCATTTTCACACTTTATATATGATGGACTGTAGCACTGTCCTTCTGTTGTTCATCAATTTTCTCGAGCGGGCACCAGTAACGTCTCACAACAAATTGTGAGACTGGTTGTTACTGCTTTTCGCATATTGAATATGTCACGGGGAGATTGCCAGGCTTTGCCGTGAGGGCGAGATAGTCTCGGTAGCTTGCCGGACTCTCTGAGAGGGATGGAGTTCTTGAACCCTGGCCAGCCATGTGTAAGACAAACACCCTACCCACTGTATTGCTGAGAAAAAATAGAGTAGAAAATTAATTGTAGCTTACTATGGTCCCTAAATCAGCTCTAACAGATTATTCTGTAGGAAAACACCATATAATTTCAAGTTTTGGCCCAAGGGAATTTATTAAGATTTCCAAATGCCCAGAGGCCAGAAGGTCTACTTTGGATAAATTCCCAGTGTAACCTCTTGGGGCTAAGGAGGATTAAAAGACACTGGTTTCTTTCTCTCAGCAAAAGATAGTTTTCTGAGGTCAGTTCATCACAAAGATCAAACCTAAACTAAATGTGAATCACAAATACTGATACTTGTCTTTATGTTGAGGGAAGAGGCTCCTGATCGTCCTCTGGTGAGTCTGAAGTTCCAGAAGTACAGAGTTGGCTGGGCAGTGGAATGCCTCTAAGGTAGAACTTCTGACTGAATAAGATAAAATACCATTGTCCTTGACTTGAGAAATGAAAGGAAATGTATGAGCTAAGAAACATCAATAAAAACTAGGTATATGGAAACGAACATGGTAAACAACCTATTTTTGGAATTATCAGTGGAATTGGATTCCTATATTCCTATAATTTCTCTCTTTATATAGACAAATAAGTAATTCAGTGTGAATGTGTGAATCATTGGACAGAATTAATTATTGCTCTATCTTTATGTTCATGGATGCTTTTAAAATTTTGATTATAAAACTTGTTAACCACTTTCCATATTAGAGAGTGTAGGCATATTGCTCAAATAAATATAAAAGCTGATAATACATGGGCAACCACATTTTCTTCTCCACTAATAACCATATTTTTTGTCCAAAAGTAACTCTATGTAAACTTTGTCAGGGTATCATGAGAGATCAGGTTTCTTTTAGTATTAATTCACTTCAGATTTCTGATTTTTTCTACCTTGGGAAGAGGTGAGATGAATTATGACAGAAAGAAATTTAAGAAAAGTCCTACAATGTATATATGAACGGTCAAAATATTAAAAAATGGAGAGGAAAATAGCGAAAATAATGGTAAATTTTATAAGTGTCTAATGAAACCAGTTATTTTTAACAATCAATCACATCCACCTAAAAGATTATTCCCAAACATACTCGGTTTGCCAATCATTTGTCAGAAAAATAATCAAACAGAACTCAGCACCCCTTTTCAGAAAGTAAATCATGCCTGGAAATTTAAAAGTGAAAACTTGCATCCAAAGGCAACCAAAGCTATCAGTGCCCTCTCAAGTTTAATAATTCCCCCAACCCCAGTCCTTGCCCTCCAGAGGATGGTATTGTCCACTGTGAAAAAACAAGAATTTAATTAAACTCTAAGTATTTGGGATCATATTGAAAGTAGGTAGCTAGAGGCATTTTGAAATTTCATCCAAGAGAATGACCATAGGATGGCAGCTAAGAGAGCTAACTGCATGCATCCAAACCATCACTGTGTTGTGCTAGCCTCAATACCTTTTTTTTAACACTTAAATGTAAGACCCTTAATTATAATCGTTAAAATGAAATTTAGTCTATTTGTCCAATTTATAACATTTAAAAAGCTAAATTTTAGCTTTAATTTTTTTTACCTTCTCTTAACAAGTATTGCAAACATGCATCTCTATTCATAAACTCTAATTTTCTCAAGAATCTATTTACCTTCTGTAATCAACTTTACTAGAAACAATGGACTTAAAAAATTTAATATATGTGTATTCTTCAATTTCAGGAATCCAAAGGAATGAACTGAATGGATGATGTACATATGAATTGTGACTTTGGAGTGAATAGATGTTACCATTCCAAATTGGGCCTATCTAAAGATAATGAGTTTCTGTCCATTATATTTTGTCATTCATCTTCATATTAATTAATGATCTAGTATAAGATTTTAAGATTAATGAACAAAATTTCCATGTATATAAATTAAGTTATTTTTGTTGATTTCCATCTAGAAAATTAAGCAAACTGCTCCCAAATATATTTAGATGGAAGAAATTTCTGGAGGCTACAAAAATTGACTTATGAGTTGAAGAAGACTGAGAAGAATGCCTAAGTGAGTAAATGTGTCATTCTGATGTTAAGAAGCATTATCTATGAAGTCTTTTTATACCAGTCCCTATATAAAACTAAATGTCTTAATTTAATTTAGTTTAAGCTTTTATTTTATGACTCCTGTGGACCCCCCACCCATACACACACACAGAACTGATGGTGAATTGATTTCCAATAATATAAAATTTGATATGTGCTTTGTTTTTTAATTCTGGGAGAGGCAGTGTCCTTATTCATTTGAGACTTGAATTCTTTCCCAATATAATTATTTGGACTATAACGAAGAAGGGAAAGTACATTACCTTTAGGTTAAATCAGAACAGTCTTATCCCTGGCGTTTTTCTAGTGCTGAAAAACTAACAGCAGGGTCAATGTTTTTCTTCAGTATTCTTCACCCTAAATCACATCTGATTTAGGATGAAAGTCTATTAATCATCATAATCATAATCATATATTCTCCACAGAGAACTAATTGTATGCTATGTTTTCATTCTATCAATTCATGCATTTTGATATTCTTGGCTAAGTATAATCATCATTTTCAAGCATCCTAAAAACTACTGTTAATTTAATTTCAGGATTTGTCTATTTATACTACTGCACTAATTATAAAAGAAGAAAGAGAGAGAAGAGAGAGGGAGAGAGAGAAACAGACAGAGAGAGAGACGAGAGAGTAGAGAGAGTGATGGGAGGGAACTTCGGGACACTGGTGCTGGGAAAAGTACACTGGTGGAGGGATGGTTGTTAGAACACTATGACTGAAATCTAATCATGAACAGCTTTCTAAGGGTCTATCTCACAGTGATTCAATAAAAAAGTGAATCACTGTGAGATACATTTTTCTCTCTTTTCTTTTGCCAGTGCATTCAATTGAACTCATTGCCTCACTCATAGGTTAGTACCTCAGCACTCTGGCACTGTGAAATATCCAGGGCCCTAAACAGCAAAATCTGGCAAACTACCCGTGATGTATTTGAAATGCCAAAAAGAGTAATAAGTCTCACAATTTGTTGTGAAACGTTACTGGTGCCCGCTTGAGCTAATCAATGAACAATGGGAGGACAGTGCCACAGTGCTACGAATTATTTACTAATTATATCAAAGTGTTATTTATATGTAAATGAACTTATTTTAACTTATAGACTAATTATCTTCTGTTAAATATTCTGATCTTTCTCAAATAGATGCACGAGTTGACCATGATATTATATATTTTACATTATTCTCTTGAAAAAATATTTGTCGAATGATATTAGTATATTATATACAAAAGGCTTAATATGTTACTAAATAATTACTTAAGAATTTCATAGTTCTCTTGTTTTTATTAAATAAAAAATGATTATAAATGATACCGTTTATGTAAGCAACAGTAATTAGACAGATAATTTTATTTTTTGAAATAGATTTCAAAGCTTTTCTTTAGCCATTTTAACCAAGCAATATATAATATATTAATTGATAGAATTTTGGTTAATTGAAGATTCTGGTAATATAATTGTTACTTTTACATCATTATTTTTTAGGTACTATCACACAATTAATATTTTTGTGTTTATGAAGAAATAAAATTATGGTTAGATATTAATTTGTTGGCTTATTTAATTTACCACTGTTTTACATCTCTAGAGAATTTGGGCTGTACTGCATCCATGCAGGACCTGTGATTTGCAACCAACATCCTTAAGAATTTAATAGACTATGGCTAATTTCACGACAAGTGGGTTTCTCCTCATAGGATTTTCTACCAAGCCCGAGCTAGAAATCTTCTATGCCTGTCTGTTCTTCGTTCTGTACTTGTTGGCTTTAGTTGGCAACATGCTCATCATCACCACAACTTCCCTGGATGACAGTCTCCAGTCCCCCATGTATTTCTTCCTGAAGCATCTCTCCTTGTTGGACCTCTGCTACATTTCTGTGACTGTCCCAAGATTCATTATCAACTCTTTCTTGCATAGAGGAGACATTTCCTTCTGGGAATGCGTTTTACAGTGCTTTGCGTTCAACATCTGTGCAGATGCTGAGATGGCCATGCTCACGTTGATGTCCTATGACCGTTATGTGGCCATCTGCCTGCCCCTGCACTATGAAACCATCATGGACGTCAAAACCTGTGTCCATGGGGTCGCCGGCGTCTGGGTCAGTGGGGTCATCTCTGCAGCCATGCATACGGTAGCTACTTTCTCTATCCGCTTCTGTGGTCCCCGTATCATTCACCAGTTCTTCTGTGATGTTCCCCAGATCCTGAAACTCTCCTGCTCTAATGACTATATCTATGAGCTCGGTGTCACTATCTTCCTGGCTTTGGTGGCGTTTCTTTGTTTAATTTTTATTGGCTTCTCCTATATGCACATATTTTATTCTGTACTGCGGATGCCATCTGCTGAGGGCAGAGCTAAGGCCTTTTCCACTTGCCTCCCACACCTCACTGTTGTCATATTGTTTCTTTCTACAGCTGCCTTCGAATACTTAAAATCTCATTCAAACTCTCTAACGGTGTCTGACATTTTACTCACTATTATGTATACAATAGTTCCACCAACATTTAATCCAATGATCTACAGCCTGAGAAATAAAGCCGTTAAGTCAGCTGTAAGAAAGGTTTTTAAGAGGAATAAAGCATATCTGTGTTGATGACATTTATGTATTCTTTATTGGGAGAGAATCTCAAATTCTATGGCCAATCTTGACATAACCCATAATGAAATATCATCAAATAAAAATTGATTAAACTATACATTTGGGGCTGGAGCAATAGCACAGCGGGTAGGGCATTTGCCTCGCACGCAGCCAACATGGCCTACCCGAGTTTGATTCTTCTGCCCCCCGCGGAGAGCCCGGCAAGCTACTGAGAGTATCTCACCTGCATGGCAAAGCTGGTCAATATCCCTGTGATGTATTCGATATGCTAAACACAGTAACAAGTCTCACAATGATACTGGGCTCACTCAACAAATCAATAAACAATGGGAGAACAGTGACAGTGACAGTAACCCTACATTTGAAGGGGAACATTATGTTCATATTCTGTTGGGTAATAAAGTATCAAAAGTACCTTAGCTGAGTTTGTAAATACTACAGATTAAGATTTATTCATTGAATATTGAGAGTTATATAAATGAGATTTTGTTAATTTAAAACCAGTCAGGCTAGCAACTCATGATTTATATGTCAAGGTGATGTAAAAATGTACATGTGAGACTTTTTTATTTTCAGCAACTTCTGTTCTACTTTCAGATATTACATGATGTTTACAAACTGATCAAAATCCCCTGACAATCAGCACTCATTGGCTCTTTGAACTCCATTCATGCTTTTCCACTTCTTTGGGGCTTCAGTTCATATACATTAATGCCACCTTTGTAAAGCCTCTTGACCTCCCTTATGTTACCATTTCAGATTTTGTTGACCACTTTGCCACTGATGAGGAAGGGATATTTTAAGTAAAAATCAGTGAGATTCTCAGAGATACCAGTTTTATATTGGCAAAATGAATGAAAGAAAAAATAAAATAATATATAAAGAAAAATTTTCATTACAAGATTCATTTGCTGAAAGAGAACAGATTACTTGCAAAGAAGGAAACACTTAACTATTTTAAAATAGAAAACTTCAAACATGTATTTATCAGCATATAAAATTAGGAAAGGGAATGAGTATATTGAAAGTATGCTTTCAAATTAGAAGAAAATGTTTTGCATAGAATGAATGAAAGTGGTAAAAATCATGAAAAAGAAACTATAATAAGTGATATAAAGTAAGTATGTGATATTTACCTCCCATATAGTTTTTTTTTATTAGTGAAACACCATGAGGTACAGTTGTAGACTTACAAGTTGTTGTGCTTGGGTTTCAGTTATGCAATGATCGAGTACCCATCCCACCACCGGTGCCCATTCTCCACCCCCACCAATCCCACTATCCCTCCCACCCCCCCAAGCCCCATCCCACCCTGCCTCTGTGTCAGGGCACTCCCTTTTGTTCTATCTCTCCTTTTGGGTGCTGTGGTCTGCAGAAGAGACATTGGGTGGCAATCATGTTCGGTCCATAGATTACTTTCAGCAGGCATCTCCCATCCTGGGCAGATCTTCCCAGCACCCTTTATTTGGTGCTCCCTTTTCTATCTGAGCTGCCTTTACCCCTGGAGTGTGCAGCTGGCCTCTAAGCCATGGAGTGAACAACCTGGTATTTATCACAGCTGTTCTTGGTGTTAGTCTCTTATTTTGTTACTTTATGTTACCCAGGTGAATGCAATCTTTCTATGTCTGTCCCTCTCTTTCTGACACATTTCACTTAGCATAATATTTTTCATGTAGTACCACTTATATGTAAATTTCATGATTTCATCTTTTCTAACAGATACATAATACTCCATTGTGTAGATGTACCAAAGTTTCGTTAACCAGTCATCTGTTCTTGGTCACTCAGGTTTTTTCCATTTTCTAGCTATTGTAAACAGTGCTGCAATGAACAAACAAGTGCAGATGTCACTTCGAATATACTTTTTCGCCTCTCTGGGGTATATTCCCAAGAGTGGTATTGCTGGGTCAAATAGGAGCTCAATTTCTAGTTTTTTGAGAGTCGTCCATACAGTTTTCCAAAAGGGTTGAACCAGTCGGCATTCCCACAAGCAGTGAAGGAGGGTCCCTTTCTCGCCACATTCGCGCCAACACAGGTTGCTTTTGTTCTTTTGAATGTGGGCCAGTCTCTGTGGTGTGAAATGATATCTCGTTGTTTTGATCTGCATTTCCCTGATGATTAATGATGTAGAGCATTTTATCATATGCCTTTTAGCAATTCGGATTTCTTCTTTAAGAAAGTCTCTGTTCGTTTCGTTGCCCCACTTTTTGATGGGGTTGGATGTTTTCTTCTTGTGGAGTTCAACCAGTACTTTGTATATCCTTGCTATCAACCCATTGTTGGATGTGTATTTGGAGAATATCCTTTGCCGTTCTGTAGGCTGTCTTTGTATTTTGGTCACTGTTTCTTTGGAGGTGCAGAAGCTTCTTAGTTTAAGATAGTCCCATTTGTCTATCTCTGTTTTCACTTGATTGGCCAGCACCGTGATATCTTTGAAGATTCCATTAGCGTCAATGTCATGAAAGGTCTTGCCAACTTTGTATTCAATGTACCTTTTGGATTCTGCTCTGATATTGAGGTCTTTGATCCATTTTGATCTTACTTTTGTACATGGTGTTAGGCAGAGATCTAAGCCCAGTTTTTTTTGCATGTAGTCATCCAGTTTTGCCAGCACCATTTGTTAAAAAGGCTTTGCTTACTCCACTTCTCATTTCTTCCCCCTTTATCAAAGATTATATGATCATAGGTTTGAGGGGAGATGTCAGTATATTCAACTCTGTTCCATAGGTCTGCAGCTCTGCCTTTGTTCCAGTACCATCCTGTTTTAATTATTACTGCTTTGTAATAGAGTTTGAGGCTCGGAAGGTTAATTCCTCCCATTTTCTTTTCCCCAAGAATTGCTTTAGCTATTCGAGGGGTCTTATTGTTCCGTATAAATTTCAGGAGTGTTTGCTCCATTTCTTTGAAAAATGTCATGGGTATCCTAATAGGGATCGCATTGAATTTGTACAGTGCTTTTGAAAGTATTGTCATTTTGACAATATTAATTCTCCCCATCCATGAGCATGGGGTATTTTTCCATTTCCTTGCATCTTCTTTTATTTCACGAAGGAGCATTTTGTAGTTTTCTTTGTACAGGTCCTTTACTTCCTTAGTTAAACTAATTCCTAGGTAGTTGATTTTCTGGGGCACAATTGTGAATGGGTTTGTTTTCTTCATGTCATTTTCTTCTCTCTCACTATTTGTGTATAGGAAAGCCATGGACTTTTGGGTATTGATTTTATAGCCTGTAATTTTACTATACAAGTCTATAGTTTCTAGGAGTTTCTTGGTAGAGGTTTTAGGGTTCTCTAAGTATAGTATCATATCATCTGCAAATAGTGAGAGTTTGATTTCTTCCTTTCCTACCTGGATGCCCTTAATATATTTTTCTTGCCTAATCGTTATTGCAAGTACTTCCAGTACTATATTGAACAGTAGTGGAGAGAGTGGGCATCCTTGTCTCGTCCCTGATCTTAGAGGGAAGGCTCTCTGTTTTTCCCCATTGAGGATGATGCTTGCTGTAGGTTTGTGGTAGATGGCTTTAACTATATTGAGGAAAGTCCCCTCTATCGCCATTTTGGCTAGGGTTTTCATCATAAAGGGGTGCTGGATCTTGTAAAATGTTTTCTCTGCATCTATTGATATGATCATATGGTTTTTATCTTTTCTTTTGTTGATATGATGGATTTATGTTGATTGATGTCCAAATATTAAACCATCCTTTTATCACCGGGATGAATCCCACTAGGTCATGGTATATGATCTTTTTGATGAGTTGTTGAATTCTATTTGATAGTATTTTGTTGAGAATTTTCGTATCCGTGTTCATCAGGGATATCGGCCTATAATTTTCTTTTCTTGTGGTGTCTTTGTTTCCTTTTGGTATTAGAGAGAAATGGGCTTCATAGAAACTGTTTAGGAGAGTTTCTATTTTTTCAATTTCCTGGAAAAGCTTGAGAAGGAGTGGCAGTCGGTCCTCTTTAAATGTTCGGAAAAATTCGCTAGTGAATCCATCTGGACCTGGGCTTTTGTTTTTGGGAAGACTTTTGATTACAGTTTCAATTT